CAGTCACCCATTCCCATGGTCTCATCTTGAATCTTGCCATTACCTAGAACTGCGTCACCTCTGATATACACCTGAAATTAATATAATATTGTAAATTAACCATATTTCAATTTAAAAAATTAAGTGAACATTTAAACTATAGAACACATCAATATGATGAAATACTACTCAGCAATAAAAGGAACCAACTACCGATACAGGCAAATTAAATTAGATGGATCTCAAGGGCATTTTGCAGAATGAAAACAATCTCAAAAGGTCACGGACTGTATGATTCCATTTATACAACATTTTTAAATTACAAAATTATAAAGGCAGAGAACAAATTAGTACTTGCCCAAAGTTAAGTACGATGGGAAGGAGAGGGTGGATGTGACTATAAAAGGGGTAGCATGAAAGAGATCTTGTGGTGATAGAACAGTTCTATACCTTGATTGCAGTGGTCGTTACACAAATCTATACATACATGTGATAAGATGAAAAAGAACTATACACACACATTGTACCAATGTCAAATTCCTGATTTTGATATTGTACTATAGTTATATAAGATGTAACCACTGGGGAGAACTGGTTAGAGTATACACAGGATCTCTCTGTGCAATCTTTGCAACTTTCTGAGAAAAATCTATAATTATTTCAAAAGTTAAAAAAAATTTTTTTTAAGAGAGAGCAGGAAAGCTGATATACACATGTTAATGTGAGGCCAAATAAACAGGCATACCTCAGAGATATCGCACGTTCAGTTCCAGACCACCACATTAAAGCCAATATCACAATAGTGAGTCACACAAATTTTTCGGTTTCCCAATGCATATAAAAGTTTAGTTTACATTATACTATAGTCTATTAAGTATGTAACCGCAGTATGTCTAAAAAAACAATGTACATACTTTAAAAATACTTTATTGCTAAAAAATGCTAACCATCATCTGAGCCTTCAGCAAGTCATAATCTCTTTGTTGGTGGAGGGTCTCGCCTCGAAAAAGTTTGAAATATTGTGAAAATTATCAAAATGTGACAGAGACACAAAGGGAGCAAATGCTGTTGGAAAAAATGGTGCCAATAGATTTGCTTGACACGGGGTTGCCACAAACCTTTAATTTGTTTAAAAAAAACCAGTATATGCAAAGCACAATAAAGCAAAGTAAAATAAAATGAGATATGCCTGTACTTTTAGGCAAAAGCACTACTAGATGTAAAAATAATAGATTATTTGAGGCAGAAAGTAGGAAGAAATAATAAAGATAAGAGCACAATTACATAAAATAGAAAACAAAAATCCATTAGAAAAGGACAACTCAACCAAAAGTCTAATGAAAAACTAATGAAATTAATAAATATCTGGAGAGACTAAGAAAAAAAAGGGAGAATGCACTGATAGTCAAGAACAGGAATGAAACAAAGAGAATCACTAAATGTTACTCAGTCTTAAAATAGATAAGATTATATTATAAATAACTGTAATAAGTTTGAAGACTTATGTGAAATGGGCAGATTCCTAGAAAATACATAACTTACCAAAACCAACACAAGGAGAAACAGTAAATTTTAGTAACCATGTATCAGTAGATAAATTGAATCAGAAAACAAGTCTTTCCACAAAGAAAACTTTAGCCTCATATGGCTCCATAGGCAAGTTCGACTAAATATTCAAGGAAAAAAAAATAATTCAAATCTTACACAAACTATTCCAAAGAATGTGAAAAAAGGATAGAAGCCCAACTCACTTTATGAGTAGCATAACCATGATAGCAAAACAAAAAAATTACCAATTTCATTTATAAGCCCAGATGCAAAATTTCCTAAACATACATATATAAACAGAGAGAGAGAGGAGAGACAGTGCCTAAACCCAAGAATGTCTAAAAAGAATAATAAAATATGACCAGTAGGGTTTATATGAGGAATAAAAAAATATGCTTATAATTAGAAATAAATCTGTCTTTCAACATATTAGACATAAAAAAAGAAAAATCATAGTCATCTCAATAAACGCAGAATTCTTCTGAAAAATTTCAGTGTGATTTTTTTTTTCAATTTAGCAAACCAGGAATAGAAAGGAAACTCGCTAACCTGATAGTATCTGCCAAAAAAACCCTGCAGCAAATTTTTTAAGTCCATATCCTTCTGAATCCAAACCCCAGACACATGGCCACATTTTAATGCTTTCTTTTCAAATAAATCCAAGAAGCTGAATATGGCTGGAGAGGAATGTGTAAGAGAAGGAACATTTCCTTGAGCTGACTGACATTAGATAAGTAAGGTCAGATCACGAAGGGTCTTAAATGTCATCATACTAAAGAGCTGTTTGTTCCTGACAACAGTGAGATACCACTGAAGGCTAGAGGTTGGCATAAGCAGTGGAGTGACTGGATAAAGTTTCTTTCCAAGATCATTCTGGCTGCAGTATGGGTTAAAGAAGGGTAAAACTTCAGGCTGGGAAACCAGTTAGAAGGTTTTCTCTTGAGAGAAAACAAGGGGTCACAGATTCCAGTCCCTGCAGAAGCCAGACATGTAACAAAAACGAGTGAAGCAGGCAGGTCCTAAAGACAATAGGGAATGGTGGGAACTGTGAAAAATCAAAAGCACATAACTTCTCTAAAAAGATAGCCACTATTCAGCTCCAATTAATAAGTTTTCATGCAAGAATGCTGCCCGGTATTGCTAGATCTTACAAATTTTCAAGAAAATTTCAATGTAACTTTTTTATTTTTAAAATTGTGCAAAACTAAACCCAATCAAATGGCCAAATCTGGTGCAAACGTCACCAGTTTGCAACCTGTGGTTCAAAATAAGGTAATGTCAGTAGAGATAAAGGGGACAAACTCAGGGGATATTATGAAGGAAGAATCAACCAGATAGTAATCAATCAGATGTGGGCTATAGAGTAGAGGAAGGACAATGGATGACTGCTAGGCTTCCAGTTTAGGCAGAGTGGATGGTATGCCATTCACTAAGTCATGAGACATAGGTAGAGGAGGTTTAAAGGACATTCAGGTAGCTATCGCTAATCGGCAGCACAAATATAGGGCTGGGGGAGGGAATAGAAGTCATTTTTCAAACCATAGCCCTCAATTCTCTACTCATCACTCCCATCCCTACATCTTTGACTCAGCTGCATAAGTGACACCTGATCAAAGCAGGAGGGCACTAGAACCAGCAGACTAGATCCGAGGGACTTTGGTTAGATACACTGTTCAAATGCAGCCATCCACAGGGGCTGAACAGTGAGGCCAGTTGGTATTGCCTGATGATGCCAGGATAGTGACAGTCTTGATGACCTGGGGTTACAACCAGGGTGGCCAATCATTGCAGGTTGTAGGATTTGGGCAGCAGAGCCAGTTGGGGACCCCAAAGTGTTAGGAAAATAAAAGAACAGGGAATCCAGAAAATACTGTCTCCACTTAGAGGAAGCTAGATTCAAAGAAGATTGAAACTATGACCTCTTGCCCATTATACTATGCCTGGTTGCTGGATTCTGAAGGCATCAACCTATCTTTATCCCAGCCACATACTGTTTACAAAGCTTCCTGTGAGAAGGAAATCTTGCCATTTGCAACAATGGACCTTGACAGCATTACGCCAAGTGAAATAAGTGAGACAGAGAAAAATAAATACCTTATCTCACTTAAATGTGGAATCTAAAAAAAAACCCAAACTCATAGAAACAGAAAGCAGATTTGTGGTTGCCAGAGGTGAAGGGGGATGGAGGGGTGGGGATAGGGGGAATGAGTGAAGGTAGTCAAAAGGTACAAACTTCCAGTTATAAGATTAATACATTCTGGGGATGTAATGTACAGTTAATTTTTAAAGATAGCTGAAGGGTGAGAGAGCCAGAGGGGTTCCTTAAAAGGGGGCCCTTATCACATGCAGCATAAGAGCAGACTCAGCTGAGGAGCATGCTAGGGACTTAATAAGAGTTGAACTCCAGAGAAACTGGAGTTTACAAAACAATCACACTGGGTGATGTGGATGCTAGTGGTTTGCAGGTTACTTTTTAAAACAATGGGAAGATGGGACGTCCCTGGTGGTCCAGCGGTTCGGACTCCACGCTTCCACTGCAGGTGGCACAGGTTTGATCCCTGGTCGGGGAACTAAGATCCTGCATGCCACACAGAGTGGCCAAAAATAAACAAATAAATAAAACAAACAATGGGAAGAAAAAAATAAAACAATGGGAAGAGGATGTTTTAATCTTAATCCTGTTGCAGAAGCAGGTATGTTCAAGCTGCTTAAGAAGTAATATCTGTCTTTGTGGATACAGTGTAAAGAAGTATACTGCAAGCCCTATTACAGGTGATGTCAGGATTCACCTGATGCGTCTTCTGCGTCATTTCCTAACCATTCCCTGGAAGTAAATATTTAAACTAAAGCCAAGGTGATGGTGGTGACGGTGTTAACTGTACAACCCTTCTCTGTTCCTCAGTTCAGTTCTTATAAAAGGTAATCTTTTGGCCTCTTGTCATATTGCATTATAGTAACAGACAACTTCTAGCATATGTAAATTAACCCTATCTGAACGTCTGTTTTAACCCTACCCTTAGATTCATCTTCAAAATAATCTTGACAGTTTAAGTCTGTGATCCAGCATCAGGCCCAATTTCTCTAGAGGTTTTATACACACATTCCTAGCCTTAGAGAATTTTGCAACAATAATCAGGCATTAATTGTGAGAAAGAAATGGGAGTGGGAGGAGGGGTGCGGCACAGAGGGTAAAAAGAAGACATTTGGGAGATATTTGCAGAAATAACATAACTCTGGGTAGGTAGGCTTTAATAAGGAAGTCCCACCCTTTCCATTTACTTCTTACATGGTTTTTAACTTATCCTCCCAACCAAAACCAAAAGCAAATTAAGTTACTGAAAATGTATTTACTTCTTGGGATGGAAGTATATGTGTCCTGTTTTCCCTTTTCCATCAGAGGCAGCTCCCTAAAAACCCAAAATACACACAGACACACTCTCTCTCAAACACAAACAAAACATGCATTCAAGTGATTGTTTTCATAACATTTTAACATTTAATAGAAACTATGTACGATAATTTTTTATTGTATCTTACATAAGATAGCCACTACAGAAATTTACATAGGTTAGAAGCAAGATGGATGGTTAAGGAGGGCCCAGTCCTGTAGGCTATTTTCTCAGAGGCTATAGGTCAGAGTTCACTGAGGGGAGGGGCTTCAGATTACCCAATTAGGTGAGAAGTGAGGAAAGGCTAAAACAGGCTGCTAGACAGAGATAAACAGCCATTGGGTCCATCAACATCCCTAGACTTGGGAAACAGCATTACAAAACTCTCTCTCCCCTTAGGCACAGTCCCAAAATACTCTCAATCTCAGCAGCTCCGATGGGAATCACCTGTCTCTCTTCCTTGCCTACAGTGGGAAGACATCCACAATTTTTAGACACTATTGGTTCCTTCCCCCAACATGTGGTTTGACTATAGCACTCAGTAACCCAGAAGAAAAACAAGGTAGTCCAGGTTGTCCTTTAGTGAGAGACGGTCAGAAATACTTGTTTAAATGGGAAATACAAATCCTCCAAAGTCAACTGGTTCCCAAAGCAAACTATCAACTGACAGAAGCGGGTTCTGGCTTTCCGTTTGCAGTAGCCACTCCACTCTGAGGCAATGGCGCAGAGGCTTTCTCAGAATTTCGGGATCCCTGTGATCTGCACCCATCTCCAGCCATCTGCATCTGGCCCTGTTAAAAGAAAAGTCACTTTGGTTACAAACTCATTAACTGTGGTCTGAAGCATGAATCTGACTTATATAATGCCCATGTATAGTAGCAACAAGAACAAGACAGCAGATATAACTCTATGCGGTTGCTCTTCCCCATACTTAACTATCCCTGACCCTCAGAGTCAGAAGTCATTACTTGTAGCATTCCTGAGGCCCTCCCAATGGAAAGGAGAGCTGTGGGTTGTTTCTTCCAAATGAAATAGCCATTCTCTGCTGAGTTTCCAGAACAGCCAACAGATCACAGGAAGACAGTCCTCTGGGCCTCTGTTTGAAACCAACAGCTATAGTATAACTGCAGGTCTTCAGTCAGAGCCATGAGTGTCCCACCCAAAGCTCAAAGAAAGAAGCCAAATCGTGCTGCTTGTGCTTAACTCTATGATGAAAACAATTCCAGGGCTGAACTCTCCCTTAAAGCAACAATTTTCTTACACTCCTTGTCTCAACCTTTTCTAGTTAACTAAATAAATTTGTCCTGCTCTCCCAGATATGGGGACCAGGAGCTAGTTAGGTGTTCTCTCTAAGGCCCATCTGGAGAACTGCCATCTGGAGCACCTGCACAGCTAGTGATGACAACCCCGACCCCCAGGAGTACATGCTGGCCACAGCCAGCAGGGGACCCTCTGCCTGGCTGGAGGTATTCTTCACTTGCCAAAATATCCACTGGGCCTTCAGCAATTTCTTTTACAGGATGATCTTCAAGGGTTACTGAAGGATCAAAAAGCAAGGGTGAAGGAGGGCACTGCATACCGTCACCCACAACATCCAAGTCCTAGGAAAGGAAAGAGAAAAAAGCCTATCAGCAATATCAAGGGGACCAATAAGCTAAAGTTGGCATTTTTTAGCAAACCTCGAAGAATTCTCCCTCATTTCCCTCACCCCTCGCCTACCTTTAAAACAAATAACGAGTTCCCCAGAGTGTGCAACAAATGGGATAAGATTGAAAAGCACTGAGAATTTTTTCCTTGCTGCCAAATATAAAGCACAGACCACTATAGTAGCTTTAAAAAGCATATCCTTTTTGAACAGAAAAATTCAGAGGCGAAGGTAGAACAGGAGCTACCAGGGGCTGGAGATAGAGGGGCAGTGGGAGTTGCAGTTTAATGAGTCCAGTCTCTGTCTGCACTGCCAGAAAAGCCCTGGAAATTGATAGTGGTGATGGTTGCACAATGTTTTGAATGTACTTCATACCACTGAACTGTACACTTTAAAATGGTAAATCTTACATTACAAATATCTTACCACAAAAAGAAATATTTTTAAAAAGCATATACTGGAACTCCCTGGTGGTCCAGTGGTTAGGACTCTGCGCTTTCACTGCCAAGGGCACAGGTTCAATCCCTAGTTGGGAAACTAGGATCCACGTGACCAAAAAAAAAAAAAGGCATATACTTCTAAGACTAACTGTAGTCGGCATCTAAGTTCACCAGTGATGAATCTAATATGGAAAATCAGCATACATGCAAATTAAAATGAAATACTGACTTAATAGATTGGACAATATGAGACCACTTGATTAATATTCTAATGGCCACAAAGCGAGCCAGGGAGCAAAAGAGGAAAGGGGATGGGGGAAGAAAGAAGGAAGATGAAAAACTCAAAGTCCTTACGAATGGCCAGGAAATATTTTAGTTAAGTCCCTATCCCCACAGAGAAAAGTCCCTGATTCTTAAACCTAACATATCCAATTGCTCTTTAAAACACCCACACACAGGGGGACTTCCCTGGTGGTCCAGTGGTTAAGACTCTGAGCTCCCAATGCAGGGGACCTGGGTTCAATCCCTGGTCAGGGAACTAGATCCCGCGTGCCGCAACTAAGATCCCACACGCAGTGAGGAAGATCCCGAGTGCCACAACTAAGACCCGGCACAGCCAAATAAATAATAAAACACACACACACATGCACGCACAAAACATTGTCTTCTACAGACTATGTTTCTTCCAACTGAACTGGCCATTCCCGCAGAGGGGCTGAAGCCAACAGACCATAGGAAGACACTGCTCTTGGCTCCTGCGTGAAACCAATAGCTACAGCAAACTACTGGTCTTGATTCAGGGTCTAAAGCACTATAAAGGCTCAGACAATATGTCAAACTGACTTTCATCCCTCTGCTGTCTAAGCATCTACTGCTAAACTCTGCTTCCCAAGAGTGAAAACTACCCAAGGGTTTGTACTCTCCTGTGTCCAAGCTACTTTATAGAGGCTCTATGTTTCCAGTGATTGAGCTTCTTGAGAAAAGCTAAGTTCTGTGCTTTTAAAATAAGTCTAGGAGTTTGAAATCCTTTCCCTTTCTTTGCTGTGCTGATCACCAAAAACAAGAATCACATCCTCAAGATAATTAAGGTAAAGAAAAGAACACAATTAAAGGACGTGCTGGACTTAAAGCTGCTCAACTTAAGCAGAAACATAAGGAAAAGGATACAGCTGGCTACCTAACATCTACGTCAGATGTGTTAGAAACTTCTGCACTATCCACAGAAACCACCATGTTCTCACACTGTTAAGTAAGACTGTGAACTGTTTTCTCCGATTCTTTTAGTATGCACAATTATTATGCACTTGATCCTTGAACAACGCCGTGGTTAGGGGCACCGATGCCCACAGTCAGAAATCCGTGTATAACTTCAGTCAGCCCTCTCTGTCCATGGTTCTATACCCTCAGATTCAACCAACTGTGGATCATGTAGACTGCAGTAAGAATTTACTGGGAAAAAAAGCTGTGTATAAGTGGACCTGCACAGTTCAAGCCCATGTTATTCAAGGGTCAACTGTATAAATAATTAACTTGAAATTTAAAAGAACCCATTTAAACAGTGTGGCAAAAGGTTTCCAAGTCTCAAGATAACAGTGGTACAGAAAATTTTCAAACAAAAACAGATACTGAAAAGGCTTTCCTCACATATTCAGTGTTGTCTTTTATAAGAATTAAAATTGGGAACAGGAACCTAAAATAAGAGAAGAAAGGATCAGCAGAAATGCCTATCCTAAGAGGAATGAATCAGGACACAAAGACAGAATCCACATTTTGTTCTATGTCAAAAACAGAGCTCAAAAAACAAACACAAAAAGAGAGCAAGCTCAAAGTAATAGGATTAAGGTATTAAATTCTTATTTGTCAAATAACCTCGGATCAAAGGACAGAAAACAGGCAAGTGTTAATATCCAGAATGAAAGGCTGAACTTTTACCCATATGAATATCTGATACCTGGTCCTCCCACAAGTAAAGTTACCAGAAATTATTAATAAGTATAACAGAAATGATATCTAAGAAAGAACACAGGTAAGATTGCTGGGTGGAATTCATATAATTAAGAAATTATTTTTACCCAGCAAAAGACTAGTTAAATATATCCAGAATTTATGGGAGGACAAAAACTCTTTTCTAAAACAGAACTGTTTCAACATTTTCTGGAGAATTTTTACCTCCGAAGATTAAGAATAAAACTACTTGTTAACGACCAACGTGGTTCATCTAAAGTACATTAATACAAACATAACAGATGATCAAGTACAAATAGCTGATTATCATTTTTAAACCTCTAACAAAGGTCCACCTTAAAAAACCATGAGATTCTCAAAAATCAACTTACTTCTCATACATTCCTTAAAAAATTCACACCATAAAATAAATATTAGAAGATCTGACAATATATTTTTAAATGTTTAAAAATTAAGATTCCTTAAATGTCACTTTTAGGCTATGATCACATCTTATAATCTCTAATATTTTGTGTTACTATTCTCCAAAGAGCAAACAAGAACATAATCTTCAAACATACTGGAACAGTCATATTTTCTTAGCTCTAGATCATCAGAAGTTTAAGAAAACACTATTTAAAACTAACGCAAAAACATGTGAAAGGGGAAAAGCAAAAAGGTCAAAATAGCAATGGCTCTAGAAATTAACAATCAGATGAAATAAAAGTTAATAACCTAGTACATCTATGTAAAACCCATGTGCTAGTTACTACATATGTACATTAATATTTGAAGGGAATTTGGCAATGTAGTGATTAGGTTATTTTTTAGACCCTATAAATCTGCTCGTAACTAAATTAAAAAAAAAGGAAAGGTAGCACCTCTTTGGGTTTTCTTCACATGTAAAATGAAGGGAAGTGGACAAAAATCTGCATCAATCTAGGGCTATCTATTCATTTACTCTCTTCAACATAATCTCATTGGAAAACTCTGGGAAGCACTGGAGTATATAATCTCTAAGGTTCTCATATTCTATGAATCTGTTTGAAAGAAACTTTTTAAAAAGCAATTATAATCAGGATTATAACAAAAATTATAAGTTTGTTATAAATGAAGTGACAAAAATCAAGTTCACTAATCCTACAAACAGTATACAGCCACAAAAGGAGGGGGCGTAGTTAATTGGCATCAGTTTACTCTTTTTGGGGGCCACTCTGCACAGCTTGTGGGATCTTAGTTCCCCCACCAGGGACTGAACCCAGGCCACAGCAGTGAAAGTGCCGGGTCCTAACCACTGGACTACCAGGGAATTCCCTGGAATCAGTTTACTCTTAGTGCCACTTTTTCAGATATTAGCCTGTCCTGATATATCTTCTTTAGTGAGCAACACTCGAGGCCACCCAAATCCTGCTTCTACCCCTAGGCAAACAATCTTGTAACCTATACTGAATTTTCCATTTAGATTTATCACTTTAAATATGTCATGGTTATATATTGATACAAGACACCTTTATTATGAAATTCAGAAGAATTATCTTCAGAATAAATAATGAAGACCTTTATCCAAAAGGCTAAAGATTAAGCAAAGTGCCAAAAAAAGATGGAATGTCAACTGATCCCTGAAGTGAATGATATAGTAGGGTAGTGCTAATTAAGGAAACAAATGCAATCAGAGATGGGTTTATGCGCTGGGACCAATCAAGAAGCAGACTGAAAAAGGTAGAGTCGTGTACACACTTAGAAGGCTATAAAAGTAAATATTTAGGGAGATCACTGTTGTTCTGGTCCATTCACAACAGAATCTTTAATAACATATCAAAAATGAAAAACAGTATGCAGAGCTAAGTTTAGAGTCATTTTTAGGGGAGGACACATTAATCTGAAAATGAGAACTCTTATAGGGCCAAAACACAAATTTACATTGTCAAGTAGCTATCAGCATTAATTTGTATTATTAAGATTCAAGTGAATTACTTACCTTGTGGATGGGCACCAAATTTCCCAGCGACACAAATCCAACCATAATCTTGACTTTCCAATTTCCCTTAGTTTAAAATTTCCCTTATCATTCCCTCAGAAAAAAAAACTTCTGTAAATTTAAACTGTCTCTAAATGAATATGTTAACATACAAATACAACCATACACACATATCATTTCAAAAAACTTATCAAAGTTGTCTTCTTTTTTTTCTTTTTTTTAAACCACAAAAGACTAACCTATTCTCACCATTAATAAATAAGGCCTTGCCTCAAGGGCCAACCAGAGCAGAGCTTCTCTAACTTACATCACTGAACTCCAGAGGTAAACTCTCAGTGGGCTGAAGCTCAGCAGCACTCAAGTACAGATCCATGGGGCCGGCTTCCAGATCGTCTGGCACAGACAGTACCTGCTCGGGCTTATACATCTGAGGAGGCAACTGGAAATGCAGTGGGCAGCAGGGATCCTCAGAGAGGCTTACAGGAACTGGTTTGTTGCAGGGTACCTCTTCAGACCCCTGGCAGCATTTGAAGAGAACCTGATTCGTGTCCTGACAAATATCTGTAGAAAAATGGTCAAGGGAAATAAAATGGATCTATCGGAGGCACAAAAAAGGAGGTGTCTGCCATGTAAAATTCAAGGTCTCGACAACACATGATATTTGGTTACATCTGATATAGAACCAAATGCAGGTAGCAATTTTTAAAGTTACTTCTCAAATTGTCATTTACTAGCATAACTCTAGCTCTACCAGTAATGTAAAACTAGTCCCCCACCTCCATTTAAAGTAGAGACACTAATCTTGTTCTCCCTATGAGTCAAATGAAAAACATTTCAAAACATAGTGCTAAGCAAACAGCAGTTAACAATCCTAGAAAACTGTACCTATTCAGAAGAAACATGTCATGGTAAATGCAAATAGCTTGCAGAGGCCCCTAGCAACCCCTTCCAAGAGTCAAGAGATACAATGTTGTTTCTGCTGTTAAGCAGAGGGGCAAAAACTTCCTCAAAACTTTTTGAACCTTGTTTCCAAAATGTTTACATGATACATTTGTTTAAAGAAGCAGGGTGTTGGGGAAAATAGAAGCTCCAGTAATAGTAACTAGGTATCCTATCCTGACAGGAAATAAAATTAAATTTCCACACACACACCCTTTTTCAGGGGGGTGGCATCACTGGAGTCCTGTTATGATCCCAAAAACAAAGGGAAGAAGAGCACTTCCCTGGTGGCACAGTGGTTAAGAATCCGCCTGCCAATGCAGCGGACACGGATTCAAGCCCTGGCCCGGGAAGATCCCACGTGCCACAGAGCAACTAAGCTCGTGCACCACAACTACTGAGCCTGCGCTCTAGAGCTCACGTGCCACAACTACTGAAGCCCGCGTGCCTAGAGCCCATGCTTTGCAACAAGAGAAGCCACCGCACCGCAAGGAAGAGTAGCCCCCCCTCGCCGCAACCAGAGAAAGCCTGCGCACAGCAACAAAGACCCAATGCAGCCAAAAAAAAAAAAAAAAAATTTTTAAAAAAGAAAGGGAAGAAGAAAATAACTGCTTATGGCGCATGGAAAGAAGTAGTCCAGGAATGCTCCAGGAGCCCTAACAACTTCTCTTAAGGGTAGAAGCAGAAAAAGGCTATATTTCCAAGTTGGCAAAGAAGTTCTGTGGGATGAATCAACATTGAAATCATGATCAGATAACAAAATTCTGATTCGAGTCACTCTACAAAATATTTTACTCAAGTTTTATCATTTCCTGAAATCCTAACTACATGGTTATTTTCCCTAGATTAATAGACAACTATTATTTCAAACTTGGGCCTATTTTTTAAACCAGAAAGCAAAATTTTCTGTAAACTGTACCCAGGATTATGGAAGAATGGGTAATTTTTATCCCCCAAATTTTAAGGTAATTTTTTGAAGTTAAAAAATCTAATGTACATTATAAATTTTAAACCTAATAAACCCTCTTGAACAAAAGCCATTTTTTTCAATCCATTCCTTAGAACTTGATAAACTCTAAATTAGAGTTTCACAGCATTGCCACCACTGGCATTACGGCTATCTGTGCACTGTAGAATGTTTATTAGCAGCATTCCTGGCCTCTGGCCACTAGATGTCAGTAGCACCCCCATCAGAGTTAAGACAAAACAAAAATGTCTCCACACACTGCCAAATGGGGTACAAAGTGGCCCCGGTTGAGAACCACTACTCTAAAGGAACAGTATATAGCTCAAAGTAAACAAATAATTATTCAATGAAAATCAGCGCTCAAATGAACAAACATGAATCTGATGGGAACAATCAGATTTGCAATCTCTATGTGCTTAAGAAGCTCAATCTTATTTAAATTATTAAAATTTTAAATGTGAATCCATTAAATTGTTTCAATTGGAACCTTTTTCATGTAATTCGAAGGATTTTCACAAGTCTCTTATTTATTTAATATCACAGTATCCTTGAAAAGCCCTCCCCCATCCTCCTCCACCCCCTTTCCTTTCAGATAGGGACAACAGACAAAGAAGGGAATGGTTGACCTACAACTAGAGTCTGGGTCCTTCACTTTCAGTCCAGTGGTGTCTCCATTAGACCAGAGTAAAGAGTTAACAGGTCACCAATGGCAGTCGCATCTTTCTCTGGGATAAGGACTTAAGGAAGGGTAAGTGACTTAGGCAACTACAGAGTGGAAAGGAAAAGAGCATAAAAGAGAAAAATAATACTTCCCTTCTCTTTTCACATACATTTTCAACTTTGCTTTTTAAAATATTAATATTCTAATAAACTATCTTGAGTATAGTGCTGTAAGTCTAAAATACTCAATATCCATAAACTGGGTTTTCTGCCTTATAAAGTAATTCAAGGTCACTGAAGAAAACCTGAAAAGTACAAAGCAGAGGGAAAAAGGGTATTCATAACCCCACCATCCAAAAATAGTCACATTTCTGTCACATTCCCTCCTAGTATTAGTTCCATGTAGTTAAAACATACTCTACCGAATTCCATACTCTATTTTTGTCACTATCAAACATTTTCCTATGTCATTCATAAATTTTGTTAAATATAATGTTTAATTCCTGAACATATTCCATACTATGCTGTGTCACAATTTTCCTCTCTATTCCCCATCTCTGAAAATTTTAAGGCTCTCTCCGGTTGGAGGAATTCTGTGTAACAATAATCGTCTGTATTTGATTATCGTCTTAAAATAAATTCTCAGAGGTGACGTTATCATATCAAAGAATATGAATATTCTCAAACTGCTTTCTAAAAGCCTGTGCCACTTTACAGTCCCGCTGGCAGAGTTTAGAAGGGCCCATTTCACCATTCCCTCACAAACTTTTGAAACTTTCTCATTAAATCTCATACATAGATAAGTCTCAAATTTATAGATTAGGGAATTCCCTGGCAGTGCAGTGGTTAGGACTCAGGGCTCTCACTGCCAGGGCCCAAGTTTAACCCCTGGTCCGGAAACTAAGATCCCACAAGCCGTGCAGCACAGCCAAAAAAAAATAAGTATGGATTAAAAAAACTTCCTTGTTTTATTTCTTATTTCACTTATTTATAGTAAAGGTAAATATTTTTCAACTATCAGCCACTTCTACTTTTAATCTGTCCATAGATAGCCTTTGCCCAATTATGTTTTGAGCATTTATCTTTAGTTTTTAATTACTCTGCACAAGAATTTTATATATTAAGGACAGTAATCCTTTACCAGACATTTGTTACAGTAATTAATAAATTGGTAAAATATTTAATAAGCAGAATAGAGAAAAAATCAGTTTTCCTTTCAAAAGAGCAAGAAAGTCTTCCTTCCCTTCTTATTAAAGAAAATACATTTTACTTTCCAAATATTTGTATATCTTGCCAGGCAAATGAAATCCAGCAAGATTTATGCCTTTCATATAATGAAGATCACCATATTTAAATAGTGCATTTACTGTGAAAGTAACTTTCTCAATGTCCACCATATAGATGCACTTTCACAATTCAACATACAGCTCAAAAACTTTTACAGCCCACTAGTAAATGTAAGTTTCCTATCTGAATGAAGTCTAAAATACACAAGTCAGGGCCCTGACCATAAAAGGATAATATTCAAAGAAAGATCACATTTCAGAATCATCCAACTGTTTTTGGATCCTCAGCAATTTTTTTGTAGTAATTGGATTTAACAGTATTATAATTCTAATGAATGAGTTAATAAATCAGGGATCTCTAAATTTTGGAATCCCAATATTAATCAACTACAAGTGAGTATTAGCCCATATCTATCACCAATGACAGATGTTTCTTTCTAATGAATTGACCATTACATTTCCAAAGTTCTGAAACGGCCAACAGACCATAGAAAGAGATTTCTTTAGGCTCCTGCTTGAAACCAACAGCTTCAGCAAACTGCTGGCCTTGATTCAGGGCCAAAGGAAAACAAAGACCTTCAATTAACTAAACTATCACAGATCCCCACTAGCCTTCAGTCTAGCTAGCAAACTGAACAGAGCAAAAAGATACGGGTAAGGCAGTGTCTGGTCATTGGAAGAGACTGATTGGAACAACGAACATCATCCACAAAGGCCAAGCACCTCTGACTGGAACGAGTGGTATGGGCCTAAAATGGAGAAAACAGGTCAGTCAAAACAAATTATCTATGAAAACACTTACTTATATAAGAAAACTGTATTCTTAAAGCCTAGAAACTTGAACATTTAACAAATTTATTCACCAATGCTATGCAAAAGGAAAAAAAAAATGTAAACCTCATGTCCAAATAATGAATCAACCATAATTCGAAATACAACTCCTCCGTATTACAAAAGTGTGTGATACACAGCCTAATGGTTTTCAAACTATTTTGTCTTTTAGCAGAACCCTTTTTAAGTCGTAATCTTACGTCGAGCCTCAAAAAATAGAAAAGATAGGGCTTCCCTGGTGGCGCAGTGGTTGAGAGTCCGCCTGCCGATGCAGGGGACACGGGTTTGTGCCCCAGTCCGGGAAGATCCCACATGCCGCGGGGCGGCTGGGCCCGTGAGCCATGGCCGCTGAGCCTGCGCGTCCGGAGCCTGTGCTCTGCAACGGGAGAGGCCACAACAGTGAGAGGCCCGCGTACCGCAAAAAAAATAAATAAATAAAATTTAAAAAAAATAAATGGAATTACTCTTTTTTTTTAATTTATTAATTTTATTTTATTTTTGGCTGCGTTTGGTCTATGTTGCTGGCTTTCTCTAGTTGCATCGAGAGTGGGCTACTCTTTGTTGCAGTGTACGGGCTTCTCATTGCAGTGGCTCCTCTTGTTGCGGAGTACGGGCTCTAGGCTCGCCGGCTTCAGTAGTTGTGGTGCACGGGCTCAGGAGTAGTGTCTCAAGGGCTCTAGAGTACAGGCTCAGTAGTTGAGGCACACAGGCTTGGTTGCTCCACAGCATGTGGGATCTTCCAGGACCAGGTTTCGAACCTGTGTCCCCTGCATTGGCAGGCGGATTCTCAACCACTGTGCCACCAGAGAAGCCCAAAAATGGACTTACTCTTACTGATGCAGAGACCAGGGGCTTGAGGAACAAATTTAAGAATAATCGCTTAACTCTGCTTGTCAACCTTACTTCCTGACCTTCACTGCTCCTATTATTCTGCCTTCTAAAACAAGAGTCCCAATCTATTAGGCATTCTGTGCCTGTTTCTGAAGCATTTCTGAACCAAATAACTTAGAAATCTATGGCAACCCTTCAATATGCAGATGAAAACAGAGTTCAGTTATCAGTGCAGGTACAGAATTGATCAGAAGGGATCCAAAACCCATGTCTCTGCACTTCCAGATAAGTGCTCTTTTCAATAAACCCCACGTCCAGTTAAGTTAGATTTCAGAACCAAGACTGTACAACAGTGTTTTGACAATTACCCTAACTCTGTAAATAAAACAAATGTAACACCTTAGAGGTATATACAAAAATTACCTGTTGGGCAGCACCATCTGTGGCCAGCATTCTGCGCTCCTTCAGCTGCCTATGTAGTAAGGCTTCCACTCCATAGCGCTGACGATACCGCCGAAGACATTTTAGACGCTTTAAGTTCTCTCGTTCTTTGGCAAGAAGTCCCTCTGGGCCAGTCAGGAGACTACTACCTAGAACGTCACATCAGTCAAGATGTTATCTGCCAAGCAACCAATCAAGGATGCGTCCCCAAACTAACAAGAAGAAAACAGAGAAATCTGCCCATACAACAGTTTCAAAAGCAAATCCTTCTCCAGTCCAGGTAACAAGACAGAAGTCTAACTACTACGAAATTCACATGTTGAACCCACAACAGCTTATCGGAACTGGCATAAAACTTGCCTAGAGCTTCATGTTCCACTTTGCGATTGTGTAAGTAACGTCGCTTCTTCTCTTTGAGTAGATGCTGAAGTCGTTTAAACTGGTCAATGTACAAAGACTGCAAACGAATAAGCTTCTCACGCATAATCAGGGCCACTTCTTCCGCTGTGTAGACACCAGCATGCCTAAAATAAAAGAGACAATTCAAAAAGGATAAGAAAGCACAACAATAAAACCCAAGCTTAGAAGGAAAAAGGAGTGAAGGTGAGACTTAGATTTGCTATTCAACAGTCAGTGCTGAGACAATCACCTTATTAAACAGGAATGTTTTCACACAGCATTTTACCATTCAAGTTGTTACTCAAAAACAAAACAAAAAAGAAAATTCCCAAGAATGGATACTAATGTACGATATCACAATATGGGAAAAGGGAAATGTTTCATTATTTTCCCCAGTTATTTGCATTATGTTTTAATAGGAGTAAAGATATAGAATACTCAAAATTTTTATTAATCTACCTTCTTGTTCCATTTAATAATTTAATACCGAAAAATCACAGTCAGGATAGCTTAAGAGTGTTTAATTTAGCAGCATGTATCTCAATACATTTTAATTAAAGCACAAAAGATAACAAACAATTATGACTTCTAATTTAAAAATATACTCGTAGGGAAATACACTGGCGGTCCAGTGGTCAGGACTCCATGCTCTCACTGCTGAGGGCCCAGGTTCAACCCCTGGTCCGGGAACTAAGATCCCACAAGCCACACGGCCAAAAATAAATTAATTAATTAAAATTAAATAGAAATAAAAAATAAAAATACACTTGTATTTTGGAGTTTACACAGGCCCTCAAAACACTGGTCACAATGGCTAGTCAATGTCCTCAGCTCATTTTGACAATATTCTCAAAATATCGTACCCTGGAGTAACCCTTTGCCAAAGATCTAGATTCACAGCAACTTTATTAAGTTTTTTTTTAAAATAAATTTATTTTTTATTTTTGGCTGCGTTGGGTCTTCCTTGTTGCGCGCGGGCTTTCTCTAGTTGCGGCGAGCGGGAGCCACTCTTCGTTGCAGTGCACGGGCTTCTCATCGCGGTGGCCTCTCTTTGTTGCGGAGCACGGGCTCTAGGCGCACGGGCTTCAGTAGTTGTGGCTCACAGGCTTAGTTGGTCTGCGGCACGCGGGATATTCCCCAACCAGGGCTTGAACCCTTGTCCCCTGCCTTGGCAGGTGGATTCCCAACCACTGTGCCACCAGGGAAGCCCAACTTTATTAAGTTTTGCCACCAACTATATGAATCAACAGAACTTAAAAAAAAAACTTATTCTAGTGATTAATGAGGTCGCATAAGCAAATCAGTTTAAATGTCAGTTTAATTAAAGACTGGTTCCTGCCTCTGATTTAACTCAAAGTTTAAGGGATTAACTGCAAATTTAAAAGACTTTTGGTTCCATTTGTCTTATGTGATCATTATATAAACAGAAAGAACAAGCTAGATATATACCCTGACTTGCTATTTTCATATTTTGACTGAATAAAAATTATTTGTTATTTAAAAGACAATATACACAAATTACATACTAATTTTGAATCCAAAAATATGTGCTCTTTAAAATTTAACTCTTAAATCACTGAAATACACAGAATAAAATTATTAACTTTAGGACTGAAAGCAAGTAATCTCTGCCAAAAACTTTTCCTAAATATAAATAGGAGACAAAACTACCTGTGTATAAGAGAACTACAACTACAAAGTACTCTGATAAAAATAAGTGAAAAGAAATTAAGAACCAAAACATGAAAAAAACCCAGAAAATTACAGAAATGACAAAATCTAAGACTATCAGAAAATGTGAAAAGGTTTTAAAAATATCTAAGGTCTAAAAAAGGTGACTAGGTTATTCATATTCAGGAAAATGGGGCATGTCTGCATTAATATGTCTGTACCCCCTAAAATACTGAGGCCTTAACATAGTACCAAGTTTGTTAAAATGAAATTAATTTCATTGTACCCTGTCAGAAGAGAATTTAACCAATGATCTGGGGACTATAATTTATAAATGGGAAGCCACTAAAATTAGAATTTACTACAAATCATTTGGGGCGGGGGTGGGAGAGGATGAGCACCCTAACTAATATGAATGCCTAGTTCATGTGAAAAATGGATCATTTATTTAAAGATGGATGTCCCAGACATTCACAGCTAGTTATGAAAGTCATGTACTAATTCTTCTTGCTCTGATATACACAAATATAAATGTAGGATTTGTTATTAGAATTCAACTTCAAAAAAGAGTCACCTTATATTCTATTAAATAGTGTCTCTTCTTAAAAGTGCATTCTCTCAAATTTCTTCATTTTGATAACAATGATGAAGACTCAATAACCTGAAATGACCTTTACCAAAACAAGTTCTGGATGCGTGTAGAGGTCACATGATAAAACTTACTTTTTAAATAGGGAAAGATTTAACAATTACTCTTAAGCTAAAATTTCACCAGTGTTGGATGATCCTGGAAACAAGCTTTTAAAGATTACTTTTTACAAAGCAATTAAGCAAATGATTATTTTGAGAGAAATCACATATATGTACCTACAATGGGGAAAAATATGCCAACAATAATTCTAGTTAGGATAAAATCTCTAATGACATCATCATAAACAATTCAAAAAGAACCCTTTCTGAAACAAGCAAGTGAAGGTATATGCTATAAACGGTTAATGATTCAAAAATGATAACAAAAACATTGGCACCGGGACTTCCCTGGTGGCACCGTGGTTAAGAATCCACCTGCCAATGCAGGGGACACGAGTTCAATCCCTAGTCACGGAGCAATTAAGCCCATGCGCTACAACTACTGAGCCTGTGCTCTAGAGCCCACCAACCACAACTACTGAAACCCGTGTGCCTAGAGCCTGGGCTCCGCAATAAGAGAAGCCACCGCAATGAGAAGCCCACACATCGCAACGAAAGTAACCCCCACTTGACGCAAGTAGAGAAAGCCCGCATGCAGTAACAAAGACCCAACGCAGCCAAAAATAAATAAATAAATAAAAATTAGCACCAAAGATGAAAATTCTTAATTAAAAGAATTTCATTACTTATATTAAATATAATATGTAACCACATTAATGAATTAAATATTGTAAGCAGACAATTAACAACTCTATTTACATCTCTAAAAATGCATATACGTATAGTACTATTTACTCCCGCTGGTGGGTATCTCCAGGTATGGAGGACCAACTACGGGACTTGAGCATCCTTGCATTTTGGTACCCGGGTCAGATCCTGGAACCAATCCCCCTCAAATTATGAGGGACAACTGGATTTTAGTTGGTCAAAAATTTTTTTAAATAGTATCACTGGGAGAATTAAGGAAAGCCTTATATTTAGTTACCTAATAGTTGAGCACATCTGGGGCTTTATTTTCCCCTTCGAATGTTTCTTTTAAAGGAAACTAACATCAAGTACCTAGTCCTCTTAACATTTATACTTCTCATAAAATTAACTGGTATTTCGGTTTATATAGCAATCTCTTGTTAAGTCAGATTAGAATGAATGTGTCCGCTAGAGACTGATCCACTCTAGATTACTACTGACAAAATCGAGTTTCTGGACCTTCAAAACTGAGCGTTTACCACACCAAAAGACAGTCACTCTGTGACCCTACAGTGTGTACACCTCCTCAAAGAAGCAAGTTTGGCATTTCTAGAAGCACAATGGAGGAGGGGGGGAAAAAAAACAACATATATGTTGCTTGGTATAAAGCTTCTACTGCAAAAGAATCCTGAAACAAACATTCCTTCTCAAACTACTTAGATGGACTCTCCAAACAAGTACTTCCTGAATAGCTTACTACATCGAGATTAGTTAAATAGATGAAATTATACTACTCAGAAAGTGTAATCGTAAATGACCTCTTATAAACTTCAGAATCCAAGGAACGAAGAAAATGCTATTCTAAGAATTTGTCAAACACAGTCAAGTCTAGAAATTCACTACCCCTCCCACTATTCAGAGTTCTTCCACCTGACTGTCAGTGAGAAGTGTCATGAGACAGAAATCAGAAAGAAAACAAAAACTAAACCCAAACCATGAGACATAGAAACATGAGACTTCTGAGTGGCAATATGTCTACAACTCCAAAGCGAACATGGGTTAAGTAATGAGCAGAACCTTAGTAAGATATAATTAGGTTGATTACTCACTTCTGGGTTTCTAAATCAGTTTCTCTTTCTTAGGCATGAAACCAAAGGAAGCTCCTGAACACCTTTTAATTTTTCTTAAACAAATAAATTAATCCGACAGAACTTTGCAAAAAAAAGTAGTTATTCAAATATAATCACTTTATTATTCCTGAGGTTTAAGCCAAGAACCAATTCACATCAATTTTCTCTTCTAACTGATCTCCACCCACCTCCCACTCCTATGTCCAAGAAATCTATTTTCTCCCCTACACTTTCTCATGTGTAGAATCTGATGTCCCAAGATTTTCCCAAATTACAAGACTTCTAAAAAAAGAATCAAATCCTACCCTGAAGCAAGATGGTGAACAATGACACTTTAATATGCAGAAGCTATTTATTACTGCTCACAAATAGCTATCTTCAACCCTCCTAGGTTATTAATCTACTAAACAGCATGCAGTACTACATTCCACATACTAACTACTAAAATATTTAAAAGCCCTATGTGGAGTTACAACTTACTTTAGGGGATCTTCTTGATCACTGTCTATGCTATCAGCTTCACTGTCAGGGTCACCTCTCCATGTCTGATCCACAGTAATGGGTTCCTGCTCCCCATCACTCCAGCTGTCTTCATCTGAGGCAAGGAAGGGAGAGCAGCCATTAAGACTTCCCACCTCTGTAACTCCACCACACAAAACTAGATTACTTAACACATCAACCCAAATCTTAAAATTAAAAAAGCTTAGTACAGAGGCACTGACAAACAAAAATGGCTTAAGAAAATACATCCCAAGTATGAGTACTTGTAACACAAATGAGTTAACCATGCCCTCAAAGGGACAGAAAGGCCAACTCAAAATTATTCTGTTTCCTGAAATTACCTTACCTAGCAAAGATGGTACGTATAAAAAACAGCATTGAAGGAAAGAGTCAAACTCAGGGTAGTAAACCTAAGCACCCACTACTTAAAACCAAAGAGAATAGTGAACAACATGGCAATCCTGAATTCTCACCAAACTGCCTACAAATTAACAATAATATCGTACTATCAAGTGGCACGTATGTTCAAGGCACTGTGCTAAACCAAATTAAGTTCTTTGTTAACTTTTTTCCTCCTTTTTCATTCTGGGAGAGAAGACCCTTACCCAGAATTCGGCTGGCTTCACTGCGGCTACTTTCTGGAGTCTGAGGACCCAGCTCTGACTTGGCATATGAGCTCAGCTGGCATAAGAGTGTTTCACCCACAGGCCCTGTATTGGTCTTCTTCATTTGAGCATGAAGTGCAAGGGCATTCCTACGGGCATGTTCAGCACAGAAGGACACCCTAAGGAGACAAAATATTAACATTTTACACTCTGGTTCTCTCTTAAAAGAGTTCAACTATTTTCACAGACACTGATCTTTAGATCATTTTCAGGAAATTAAAATGACTATTATCTTCATTTATAAATTTAAAATGCCAGTAAAGCTAAATAATTTAACTGGCCCAAGGTCAACTCATTTGGTATTACTAATGGGAAATGCAGGGAGCATAACCTAGTAGTGCTCTATCCATCAAACAAAACATTCCATCTCTAAAAATGCTGACATCATTTCACAACAAATCAAAGAGATTCACTTTCATCTTTCAAAATTGGTTCTGGAAGACAACATTTTACTTCAGTATCAATCCACTGTAGGTAATAAGATGTAGGACACAATTTTAAAACCAAATGATATATGCAGAATTATCTAGTCAAGTTATGTTTCTGCATAGATACTTTTGCTTAAATGATGAAAGCTATGAAGTTTTTCCCAGAAAAATACATATATATTAATATGATTTTGCATTATTACCTAAGGCTCAAGGACAGCCAAGAGTCGTGGAACCTAGGGTTAAGAATAATCCTTATTTTACAGATAAGGGAAAAGATCCAAAGAGATAACAAAGTGACCCAACTGGGAGTCGTCTCCTTACTGTTTTCACCATTTTTTTAAATTTTCGAAGGATATACCCATAACCTCAATTTTACAAGCACGTGACATAAAAAACTAGGCAGCTATTCCCAACCCACATCATGCCACATCCTCCTCTCACTTAAAAACTGAAAGTACAAACGACAGATATCTATACATATATACCCATCTTTCTTCTCAGGCTTTGGGGCAGCACTGGGACATCTTTTTCCATTCTTCGTAGATATATAACTACACTGCTTGAAAGGGGCATTCTTGTCTTCAAGTATATGCTTAATGCAAAACTCCTGCCCCTCCAGACGAGGTTGCGAGCATGGGCGATGAGTAAACGAACAAGATAGGGGCTCCTGAGACCTGGGCACTGGGGTGATCCTCCCCCGACTGGTCGGCAAGACGTGGATCCGAATCCTGTTCATACCAAAACCTGCAGGGTCACACAAAAGATCAAAAAGCCCTTACCCTTCCCGAAAATTCCTGCTCCACGATATCTGGGCAGACTGCGCATGGCTTCTAAAAGACAAGCGGAAGTCACGCTCCTTAACTCCCCTCCGTCCAGGTCCCCCCAGGCGTTAGTGAATTTGCCTCACCTCAACTTCCCAGTCCAAGCCCACCCCCCACCCCGACCACCGCCAGGCTGAAAACATCTCAAGGGCTCGCACAGCCGCAGCACGAGGGCGAAGCGCCAGCGCCGGCCCCACGCGGCGCGGCAAACCCGCAGGGCCACCCGCCACCCCCGCCTCCGCGCACGCTGCCTTTGTCCCGGCCCGCCTCAGAGCTCACGGCTGGGCCCTGCCCATCCTCGGCGGCCCGTGCAAGCGCCATTTTGTCCTAAAGCTCCGGGCACCGGAGAATCTGGGTTCTGGGAGCCTAGAGGAGACTGACTCTGACGCTGACTTGAGGCAGAGTAGCAGCTCGGAACGGACAGACGGGGCAAGCAGCAGCTTAACTGCAAAGGCGAAGAGCAAGCGCCGCCGCCATCTTACCTTTGCAGCCACGCCACGCTGCTTACGGTCTGGCAGCGCCAGTCGCTTCTAACCATTCCTTTCCGGGCTCCCAACCGCTGATTGGCTACTGCGCCTACAACTCTGTGTCACCATTGGCTACCTATCAAGCCTGGGAGGGCGGGGCGCTGAGAAAAGGCGCGGCTGGGTGGCTAGAAGAGCTGTCTGTCGGTAACTCAGCTCCAGAGAGAGTGAGGCGGAGGGAGCGCGGGCTGTGGAACGCGCTCACTGAAAACGATGACTTTCCATCTCCCATCATCGCTGGTGTTCAGGCCGCATTTGGCCTCTCTTGTCTGTGGTCCTAGGCCGCGGCTACCTCACCACCCCTAAACAGTAGGTACAAAATCGACATATAGAGGCCAAAGGATCACTGTACATTTGACTCTCAGTGTTTACAGGAAAAGGCTTTAGTTTTGTGAACAGTTCACTGATGGAAACATTTTTTGAATGCTTATTAAGTCTGGGAAATTACATATATAAACATTTAATTTTCAGAACAATCCTAAGAGGAAGAAGCTATAATCTCCATTTTACAGATAATAGAGAAACAGAATGAGCCCATATCTAGTAATTAGGGGAAGAAGGCGAATTTGAACCCAGCCCTCATTTTTTATCCCTTTTATTCCCTCTCATATAGTGAAGAGCATTGGATTGAGAATTAGGAAATATGAGTTCCCGTTGCGGCCTTGATTCTCTAAAATTCTCTACAATTCCGTGCTAAATAATGCAGCTATATAGAAATGGCAGACACAATCCCAATTTTATCATCCTCTAAGCATCTTTAGTTAAAAGCCTCTCTCCCTTCTTCCATCTCCACCACGCCTCTGGTAGACAGGAACCAACATTTTCTCCCCATAACCCTTCTGGATCTTTTTTGCATCCCATCCTTCCCAAGCTCTCACCTGCTGTCAGTTTCATTTAAGTAAGCTGTTTCTCCATTACCAATGAGCAGGTGAGCGTGGTTCAGTAGTGAGCGTAGAGAATCTACAAAGCTGGAGAACAGCAGTTTAGGCATAAGAAGTGATTAAAACCGAAATGGGTAGAGAGCTTATACCTCCCGTTTCCCAGAGATTAGGGCAGTCCTAGAAGGCCATTTCATGAGATTCATTCATTTACTGAGCACCTAAATGCCAGGCACTGGGGATACAGGGAGAACAAGAACAATAAACCTGCTCTTTTGGAGTAAACATTCTAGAGTAGTTTGGGATTGTAGATGCAATACAGCCATTAAATAGCAGCTATGAGTTATATACATAAGCAAACACTCCAACCCTCAGAAGAGGTACAAAGACATTTGTTATAAACACTCTGTAACTCAAAACTAGGAGAGGAAGCCACATTACAGAAAATATGGGAATTTTCAACGAAATGCAGTGAAATCAAAAAGGAATATTAAAGCTACTATAGGGAACAATGTAAAGAGGCATTAGGGACTAGAGATGCAACAAAGGCTTTAATTAGAGCGTCTACTGAAGGTCTTGGGGGAAAAAAAAATCTTTCTGCTAAGCCCAAAACAGACCAAAAAACGCTATTTAGAACCACTTCTGGGCTTCCCTAGTTGCGCAGTGGTTAAGAATCCGCCTGCCAATGCAGGGGACACGAGTTTGATCCCATATGCCGCAGAGCAACTAAGCCCAGGTGCCACAACTACTGGGCCTGCGCTCTAGAGCCCACGAGCCACAACTACTGAAGCCCACACGCCTAGAGCCCGTGCTCCACAACAAGAGAAGTCACTGCAATGAGAAGCCCTCGCACTACAACGAAGAGTAGCCCCCGCTCACCGCAACTAGAGAAAGCCTGTGCGCAACGAAGGCCCAAAGCAGCCAAAAAAAACCCCACTTCCTTCTAAGTGGGGGAGAGATATTAAATGGTCAAGATATTAGCAAATTCTTTGTGCTTTTTAACAAAGTAGATGGCTGTTTTTAATCCAATTAACACTTTGCTAGCTACTGAATAGGTTAAAGTAGACCTGAGGCTGTTCGTAAATAGCGGTTAGGAAAGATGAATTCTTAAAGGAAAGAGAATTTTTAATTCGGACTTTTGGGGGCTAATCCCAGAGAAAAAGTGTGTTTGTGTGTGAGAGTGGAGATAAATAAATGCCCAAATCCTGCACTTCCTATAGTCATCCTCATCTTTTTTCCTTCCAGTTTCTTGGGCCAAACACTGGGAGTCATCCTCGACTTCTCTTCCAACCTTATAGCAGATCCTACTGGCTCCAACTTCAAGATATGTAACTTCTCATTACCTTCAGCGCTTCCAACCTGGTCCAAGCCACTTGCATCTGCTCCCTTAATTATTGTGAGAGTCTCCTTACCCTTGACTCTATATAGTCCATTTTTCAACACAGAAGCCAAATGAACATTTTTTTTTGGCCATGCCTCGCTGCTTGCAATGGTGCAGTATCTTAGTTCCCCGACCTGGGATTGAACCCGGGCCCTGGCAGTGAAAGCGCCAAGTCCTAACCACTGGACTGCCAGGGAATTCCCCACCAAATGATCATTTTAAAACCCAAGCTAGATCATGTTACTTCTCTACTCAACACTTGTCAATGGTGCTCCATTTCACTGTCTTCCTAATGGCTTACAAGGCCCTACTGTATCTAGCCTTTTGCTGCTTCTCTAACCACATTATCCTACTACTTACTCTCTCCTCCTCACTCAATTCTATACTAGCTACACTGGCCTCCTTGCTCTTTCTCAAACGTGCCGGTATCTTCTCACCTCAGAGCCTTTGCACTTGCTTCCTGGAATGATCTTACCCACAAATATTCCTGTGGCTTGCTCTCTCACCTCTTTCAGGTCTTTGCTGAACTATGATTTCGTAAGGCCTTCCTCCCTAGCCATCTTATTTCCAATTTCAACAATCCTACTTACCTACATGCACACACAAAATCCCTGTCCCTCCTTCCCTGCTTTACATTCTCCAAAGTACTTATCATCTAGCATATTATGTTTTACTTTTCTCCCCTACAACTAGAATGTAAGTTCTATGAGGGCAAGATGCTTGCTTTGTTTACTGCCATATTATCATCTGTAAACAGTATACAGTACTTGGTAGATACTATTTTCTAATGAAGGGATAAATGAAAAGCAGGGAAATGCCTGAAACTACTTTTCAGGAAAGATGGATCTAGTTTTCAATTTTAACTTGTTTTCATCACTGTGATTTTTTGGTTACCTGTTGGTTTTGAGTGTTATGTGAAATTAAGAAAAGGGGTTAAGATTCCACAATGCAAAAAAGGTAGCACAAGTAAGACATGTGACAATCCACAAATCAAATCAATTCAGCAGAAGTAGGTGCCAGAGCTAGAGATTACAATAAATACAAGTCTCTAAGGGAATCCACAGAAGTCACAGAAAGGGCTTCAAACTTTCTACAGAAAGTTGAATGACAGAGATCAAGCCAATCTTATTGGCTCTCAAAAGTGTCTGAGAGACCAGGATGATTTAGGCACTGATCATAAGATGAAACTTAGCTCTATCCCAGTTAGTTTAACAAACCTCTATAATTGGGGATCCAGCTGTTTGGAAGTTTACATTGATTTATACCTCATCTATTGCCAAGGATGACACAGTTGATATCTCTTTTAACAAAAGCAAATCACTATTTATGACTTTATAATAAATTTATAGTATCATCCATTCTCACATCGTTCATTTACTACTTCTCTATTCTTCCATTCAAACCAGACCAAAATTCCTAAAACATCGGCAGCTTCCACAGAAGTTTCAGGAGAGGCACAGCAAACAAAAATCTTAAGTTGTCTTATTTCAGAAAATGGAAGGACGGAATGAACAGAACTCAAGACTCAAGTGATTTTTTTTTCAGAAGTGTTGAACATTCTGTTAAACTTATATTTTGTTCCTTTTAGAGTTTTTAAACTATAGCTACTCCTAACATTTTTTATATAATTTGAGCATTATAGCATAAAAATTCTTTCCATTTAAATGGGTAATTTGCAAGATTTACCTTGTGTGTGTGGTTTTATTATGTCCCAAGAAAAGGGTGAGTATTCCCTATCAGCTTTTCCAGGCACCACCAAAAAGGCTATTAATTTTTTCTTCCAAAAGCACTGCTGTCTATACCAACATTTCAGTTTTCAAAGAACCAAATATACAATTATGAATCATTGATAGTGCTTGCTAGATAAGCAGTACATGTTGCTATCATCTGTTAGAGCTATATATTTTTCTGTGTACCAGTCACCCTTCCAGGTATCCATGCGACAATACAGAATGAGGGGTTTTCCCCCTCTGCCACATCATACTTTATATACCATCAGGTTCACTGTAATGATCAAATCTTAGTTAGCTATTTCCAATGAACTCAATTCCCATAGGATCTTGTGCAGTAAGAAAGTACATACTATATTACCAAAACTAAAACAAAACTATTATCATATCAATCAAATGACAGTTAAAGACTAACTTGAAGACTCAGTACACATAAACAATAATCAGATGATTGTTTTATCATTAACATTTATTGATGGGATGGATAAATACAGATTGAGAAACATACTTGACAGCAAGATATCAAACTGATAGCCAGACTATAAAATGTATACAACATCCTTTTTTAAATTTTTAAAAAATTTTTTTTAATGTTTTACAAAGAGCCCTTACTATAATGGTCACTTATATCTTACCATTCACATAACAGCAGTAGAGATCCCAGGGGTAGCATCCAGAACTGAGGTGCCCCAAGGAGGACAGAGGCAAGAACAGAATAATATGCTGAGAAAGGGCTCTTAAGAGCAATACAAAGAAAACAGACAAAAATATCACCACAAAATTGTACCTGAGTGACATAGATTGGAAAAGTGTTTTACTTTTTTTTTTTCCTTCTTTGCTCTTTGGTCTGATAAGAAAACAGTTTTAGGTGTGTGGAGTAGGGTGGGGAGGTCAGTTTCAAATCCAGAAACCTAGGTTAACACTAAGTTAGTGG